GAGTAAGTCAACCCTTTTCCCTCAATCAACACTCTACCCTGTTCGGAATGTATTCAAAATGAAGAACATTCCATCATAGTCTAGATCCCGGGAAAAAAGTGGTTCCCTTGCATGAGGAAGAGGCATTTTAGTGCGAGCGGCATCACGACTGTGAGCCACATGGTCAGCGCTTTGGCCCGGGCCAAACGGAGAAGAGGCTCCGAATTCAGACAACTACCTCCACAAAAGGCGAAAAACCCCCTAAGCGTAAAGAAATTAGTTCGCTAGAGATATCCTACTCTATTTGGCGCCGACATGTTCCAACTTATTGGAACAGCGCTAGAAGTGCGTGTAGACAAAAATAGGATCCGCTCTAGTCCCACTTAAGTGTGTACTGCCGACCCTAACGATGCAAAAAAACTCTCAAAATTGACTAACAAGTGCCTTGAGCTGTCAAAAAAAAGATCAGTTTCAACGTAACAGCAAGTAAAGCTAATAAGTAAAAGTCAAACAAAGGTTGCAATAGAAACCAACCAGCTTTAATGATTTTTATCAACATCCAATTGTTGCTAGACGTCGTCATCAGTTTGAAAAATACGGGCGCCAGCGTTAGATAATTTTTCGGATTTTTCCGGGCCAATTCACAAATGACGTTGACTGCAGCACTTTGAACGCCTGAAAAGATCCGCTTCAACATTACCAGAAAGGTGACCGACCCACTTTTGCAAAGATGAGAACTGTTCTTCGTTTATCGTTTCAATATTACTGACCAGGATCAGGATCTTCAAGTTTGTCTTTCAGGCGTTGGAAAGTCGGCCTTAGCGCCTCCGGATATTTCAAAAATATTTTGTACAACAAGAGAACGGCTCGTTTTCGAGTATATGGGCGTGACGACGAGAGCTAGAACAAGTACTATATGAGTTATTCAGCAAATTTTGAAATACTAGTCTTGAAAACTTACGAGATTAACAATATCACTGGCAAGATCTCTCGCTAGGTCCGGAGTTACGAAACAGGACAAACCACCAAGAGCGACACCCGAATCGTACATATTGGAACTTGAAAGAAACGTATTCAATTCTTGATCGAGGAAAAAGGCTGTGGGTCAAGAGATCCACGTTGCGCTGACTGGCTACTATTTCCTTTCTAGTTGAACTCTACAGAATGTAGAACTTCCACGGTGATCAGAAAAAAAAGAAAACAAAGGATCGTTGAAAGAAAACATCAAAACACAGATGGCCCGTTTAGCCCCTTCCTCAGACGAACCATCGCTATTTTTTCAGCCCCGGGGCTCATTAGCGAGGTAGGGTTTACGAAACATGAACGATAATCACGAATCAATCAAGTTCTGGTGCAAAATCAGTGCGAACTGACGCCATTTCAACGCTCGATCGCCGCAACATGGATCTCCTGGGCAACATCCACGCCACCATCTACTCTAACAGATTTTGCTAGAGAGTAACATACCTATTAAGATCTTTGCGAATCAAATTTGTTGTTAACATTAACACCTCCGTCGTATCATGAAAACACTGAGCGGCGGCAAGATAACTTAAAAAGGACACTTGAAGGCTTTTCCTGTATAAAACCAGAATGGTCAGCATGAAAGTACCAACCCTATCCGTTTTTCTGTATATTTCGTGGATGCCATCACCTCAATAATATTGAATGCGGCCCAGGAAATATCGTATCCTAACATTTGCAACTGGAATTGATTAGGTGAAACGACCAAGCAGGCAAATTGGAATGCATCTGTACTTCCGTCAGCGTTTTGAGCGACCAAGAAGGCTAGGTACCGGTTATCGCTGGAAAGGCTGGTGGGCGCTCAAAACGCTGACGCTCAGGACACTCAGAACGCTGGTGGACGCTCCACACGCTGTATCGGTAATAAACATTTTCTAGTCGCTGAAAACGCTCGAAACGCTGTCAAAACGTATGAACGCACTCTTATGGGTCACCTTTTACAGGCCGCGCTAATACACTACGAATGTTGAAAAGCGAATCCGCGATTTGAGGGAATGAGCGGACTCAGTAGAATCTACGATAGCGAAAAAGATGAGAATCGATCGGATTGCACATCAATCGATTGGGTTTTTGTCACTAGCAAAGTGTGATTACCGACGAATCATCGTGAAGTAAACCACAGCGAGAGATGGGAATACATGGTTGTGATGCGGGAGCCGTTCCACCCATGAGAAAGATTCTTTCGATTAATATCTTCCTTTTTTACCGATTAATTTTTGCGCGCTCTAGCGCTTGATATAACCCTCGGCGGCACAACCTTAGGAAAAATTTGGCAGATCATAGTAGTAGTTAAAAGCGAGGGTTCAGCTAAAGGAGAATCAACTTTGGGAGGGGGGCGGGTTGTCGTAGTCCGCCATAAAATTCCCCATCCTTTGGCAGCCACTGTTGTAACCGCAGTGCGGCTATATCTGGGTTGTAAACGCGCCAATTTGACCTCAAAAAGCGTGATCCTCATAGTGTTCTTGGTCAAAAGATAGCGCCAACTAGACGCGACTACCCTCTCGAAATTCCTCTCATGCATTAGTGAAACCAAGAGGGGAATTTGAAGGACAAAGAAACTCACGTAAGCGAGCTTTTCGATAGCGTTCGCTTTGATGTATGTGGAGTCTTGGCGGAGCTCCATTTTAATCTCCTCGATGCATGACGCAATATATCGAGCCTAAACATTCGACATGTAGAAGAACATAGTGCTGTGAGTATTACCTACTTGTTTACTTATTTGATACACTCGATGGTGCGATGCACAAGCTTTGGTGAATAATAAACAAATACGGACAAAACGGGCGCGTTTCAATGAACCGGAATACGGAAGTAATAGAACTGCACAAAAAGCAAAATGTTAAAGAGAAGGAATTTTTGGTCAAAATAGGGGGGAAGAAGGGCAAATATTTGCCTATACTAGTGCGTACGTATCACGATCGAATAAATCAAAGAAAAGATGTTCTTGGGCTTGAAAACTCACCTCATTTTCCTTGTTGTTGCGGATACCACGTATAAGGTCTGTGAGGCTTTTATCGAACAACCTGTCAAGGTTGCTGCGCACCTTGCGCAGCGCCATGTGTTCGAACCTAGGCAGTAATACCATATTTTCTTGTTTTGAAGAATGAAAATTAATTAAAGAGACGTCTACAAGAGCGATTATAGGAAAGAATAAGCAAATCAGACAGTAATCACCAGAGATTGACTCTTTAATTTTGCAAAGCTGCGTCTGATAATAAATATTGACAGCGCAAAGGGGCTCAGAAGCGGTTAAAACATTTGGCGCTATTTTTTGTATAAGTCTGCGATTTGACCAACTCGGTTGTTAACTATTTTCACTTAACGGTATGCATTTTACGTGTGACTTCAATGTAGCTCTTTTTATGGAAAAAAAAGAACATCCCTAGAGAGCCAATTAAATCAAAACATCCACAAAGCTTTATCCGATTGAAAGATAGATTCAGCCTTTAAAACTCTTTCCAACCTGTTACGAACATCTCCCTGTTCAATAGCATCTTGGTATTGGGAGCGACTCCTTTTGAAAAAATAACGAAAAGGCAAACATAACTGATGTTTTAAATAAATCCCTCCAAGTTTTGGTTTCCACGTGTCTGCTGAGTTTGGCTCCATGTTCCTTGGCCCAAAGAAGTGATCGTGGAGCCTCAAAGGACAATTTGAGGGTTAAATCCCATTCAAAACAATGACTCTCCTCCACGTGTCCACCAAAACTGTTATTAATTACTAAACCTCTGGAACGCTTGAAAGACAAGATGATATGCAGCGATAAGAGCAAGATCTAACTGGTGTTCCCCAGATGAGAGCATTTTGTGACGCATGGCAGGAAACTAATAGCTCCATCGATGGCTCATCACAGCCAACAACATCGATCACGTCATGCACAGCATGTGCGCCAGCACTGCTGACGGGCCAACCTCAGCCGCTGACGCATTCGGGATGTTCGCCAGCTTTGTTGGAGCATGGTGCCGGAGAAAAATTGCCCTCAATACAACCCCTACACTCCTACACCCCTCGAGCGACTTCTGTTAACTCTTATCAACTATCAGAAGCAGCAAATTGACCCACCGACTGAAGGTATGTGCCGCTTTTAGAACGAGAAAAATGAACAATTGTAGAATTCCATTAGACCAAGTGCGATCAGGGGACGTTCAGTTGTTGGGTCCTTCTCTTGTAGGACCTCCCCTACTCCTCCCCCCCAATCCAAGCTAACACCTTCTTAGCAGTAGAGTGGGTAGGGGAGGAAGGGTACATGAAACCGGAAAAATCAAGAAAAGCCACCA